TGTGTCCTGGCAGGGGCTGGGGGCCGCAGATCACTCACTGCCCTCCACGGGGCAGATCCGCAGGCGGGCAGAGCTCTCCGCTCTCCGCCTCCGCTGTGCTTCCCGCCCGGGCCGCCAGCTCATCGTGGCATCTGCGTTTCCATTCCCCTTCCCTCGGTGCCCACCCCTGGGGGACAGCCTTTCCGTCTGAACAAAACCAGATATTCGGCAGAAATTAGGGGAAAACCATTAAGGGCAACAACCCACCCTTGCCTGGCCTGCAGCTTCAAACTTCACATGTCAATTTCTTTCATAAATTCTATTTGTTGAAAGCATCCAAATAAGGATCCAGAACTGAAGACTCTATCTACAAAATCAGTACCACTTGTGCGTAAGTCTCCACTTCCAGCTGACTAGGCTGGCAGGTGTGTGTTCTGTAACTGCCTGCAGACAGTCGCCGCCGCCTTCTGTGACCTTCATCTTGTCTGAGTGTCATCTTCACACTTGCTTCCAATTGTTTTTAACGCTGTGCTTCTTGCAAGGTGTTACAAGAAAAAAAACCAAACATGAGTCTCCAGCATTCCATTCAGAAAAATGTGTAAAAGGAAAGAGACAAAAGCAGAAACCGAACTTGTGTCCTCAGCCCTCTCTAAAGTGATCACTTCCTGTCTCAAAGGTTGGAGCGGGATCTGACAAAGCAGAGGGCGGGATGAGCCAACCCCAAGTCCTCGCTGCCACTCAGCAGGAAGGGTGGGAGACGGGGCAGGCGCCGTGGTACACAAGGTCACCAGGCAGAAGTGTCAGGGTGGGAAGCAGCAAAGAATGACCCACAAGAGACAGCTTCACATTGCTGAATTACAACAGGTTTCGCTAAAAATCACAGCCGCGGAGGTGGGGTGAGGGTGGGCTAGTAGTAGTTATTTGTCTCTCTCATTAATTTAGTGGTGGGGGTTGAGAGAGAGGAGAAATGTTTTTAGTGAATTCAGATTATTCCAAAAAGGCTGGATGCAGAGCAATCAAGAAAAGACTCCTGGAAGGAAACTCCTTCCTTCTGGGGGTGGCCGAGCCATGGAAGGAAGCACAGGAATGGAACTGTGTGGTGATCCTGAGAAAAGCCACGAAGGGGAGCCGGAAGTAGCATCTTAATGCTCCGCCATCCTCCTCTGGGCTCCCATGGGAGAGCTTTGTAGCACTCAGAGTGCAGGTGAATCTTGACATCACCGTGACACAGCAAACAGCACTGGATGGAGGCATGGGACCCACCTGAGACTCACAAGAGCGAGGCCCGCAGTTAGGCTGCTGCCCCCGTTTTGGGGTGAAATCACCAGGGAGGGTTCCAGCTCTGAGCTCACTGCTCTTCAGCAGCTCTGCTGGGTCTTGCCCAGGAATTCCTGGGTGACTACTGACTGACAAACCTACTTCTTAGGTACTCGTACTTGGCTAAGGGAAGGCAGCACACGGGAGTGACGCAAGAATGAGTCACAGAAGTCCTTCCACTAGGGTCATGTGGACGGGACCTTAGTCATCTCTAGAGTTCTCCTCTCCTGTCCCTGCTGTTTTATAACTGAGCAAGGGAAGCTCAGAGAGGGCTGGTCAAATCCCGGTGACACAGGAGCTGGACTAGAATCAGGGTGTCAGGTGCCCATTTCAGGCTGTGTGTGTGGCTTTGCTCGGGCCCAGCCCGCACGGGTTTCCAGGCTGTGACTACGGACACTCAGCGCCTCACCAGCCCAGACTGCAGGGTCCTGGGACACCAAACACAGTACATGGGCTCCCAGACTGCACACCCGAGGGGAAAGCAGTCCCTTCCAAGGATTTTGGCAGCTTGTGTCACAGTGCAGAAAGAGCTGTGGCCCAACGAGCAAAACCAGTTGTGTGTGGAAGACCTTTGTGACAGTTCTGCCAGACTCAGACTCCCTGGAAGTCTGGGAGTGATCTTCAATCCTCGCTGTAACTAAGAGGGTTAACATCCTCCCTGGCCAGATGTTCCTATAGTCGAAGTCAGCTAAATAATTTGGAGTTTTGTGTCCTCTCCTTCCTTCCGTTTTTACAAGAGGACAGAGAAATAACATGCAAGTCAGCCGCAATAGAGAGAAGTAGAAGTGTGCCCTGGAAAAGTCTATAATCTTTATTATTAGGTCTTGATTACACACATGTGGCAAGACCACCAAATACTGGACTAGTGCATGTGTGTGCGTGCGTGCGTGCGTGTGTATGTGTGTGTGTGTCAACTTAAATATCCAAACAAAAGCTACCCACTCTGCTACGAAGTCATCTTGGAAAAATGTAGTGTTTTCAGACGAGGGTACCATGGCTCCGTATTTGCACCTCTCTCTGGTCACTTCCTGCTTCAAAGTTGGTTTACAAACTCTCATGTAGAAAAACAAACAAAAACCCTCATTTTTAACCTTCAAATGACATCATCCAACTGACTGATACGTATTCACTTTTGAATTCTAGTGACTTCTGGGCTTTTAAAAACACCTTCAAAGATCAAAATTTAATTTTTTTTTGGGCAATTTGGAAGGATCTGTAGTCTCCTTCAGCAGCAGGGACACGGGCCCACCTGTGGCATGCTGAGGACCGGCCAGGCCATAGGGCCTGGCTGTGGTGGTGACATGTGCTTCAGCCTTCCCAGTGCCATGCTTCTCCGACACGGAGAGCCAGGGAGGGTCACACGGGGCGATGCAGGGGGGCATGCAAACTCACGTCTCAGGGCACCCAGGGCAGGGTCCAGAATGGAGAAGGCCAGGGAGCAAGAAAGAAAGCAGCCAGGGCCACATGAGAGTCTCTTGTCATGCACAGACTTGGGCCCAAAAGAATCCTGAGACCAGGATTTCCAGAAAATAATCACCTTGTCCTTAACTGTGGGCAAAAACATTAATATTTGAAACATAAATATGAAGGCTGAGGGTCTCAGGCCTGCATCCTCTGCCCACACAAACCAAAATACCATGTGACGTCAGAGGACCCCAACCCTAAAGCCTGCAAAAGACGCTGTGCACCAGCAGGCAGCTGGGGACAACAGTGACTATGCCGGAAGCAGCAGCATCACAACTGCAAACAACTCCTGGTGACAGGGACACCGAGACTTCTTGCTTTGATGAAAATCCTTTTTCAACAGCCAGGCTAGTTGTTTTTTTTTTTTGTACTCTGCTTACTATAAAATCAATAATATGTTAAAGAAATGCCTTAGGATCTGCAAATTTACAAAAATTCAATCAGCCTCCCTAATGAAGTACAGTTAACTTCTCTGGTTTTTCTTGAAAAGCCCTTCAGAAGTTTGGAGAAAATTATTTGGAACTCTTTTTTATTACTTATTGATTCACCTAGACCTCATACAATTGCAACAACCAAGTATAGTCACTAAAACTACACACCAAAGAAATAAAACCAGTCTTCTGCAGGTGTTATACGATGTCCTCCAAGCCGGGTGTGAGCTTAAGCTCGGCCACCTGGAACGGCACACAGCCAGGGGAGCGAGCTCCCTCTCAGGACAGCCAAGGGCCTTTCTCCAAGAGGTCCCTGTGAGCACAGCACATGACACATGGGCCCAGCAACCCCCTTCACGCAGACCTCGAGAGGCCGGACATGACGGGGAAGGTCACAGCTCATGTTGGTCACTGGCTCTGACTCCAACAAGCCACCTGAGTGACAGGGTCCCATCTCCTCCCTGGTGACTCACTGTCAGGCGGTTGTTGTGCCCCTGCCTCCCTCCCCAGGGCGTGGGGCCAGGATGCGTCATCCCCCAGTGTGATGCTTGGTGCGGCAGTGACACCTGCAAGTGTCCGTTTGTCTGTCCATCTGTCTTGACTTCAGGCGCTGCCCCGGAGAGGTGCTGTGACTCGCTAAGGACTAGCAGCCTGCCTCTCAGCCATCCAGGTCAGGGCTTCACAATGAAGCCACTGGGACAGTGGATGAGAGGTGAGCACCAACCTCGGCGAGCACAGGGACCTCGGAGACGCGCTGTCCCTGTGGTTTCTCCTGGGACCTGCTCTCACAGCTGTGGCGAGGCCCGTCCCTGAGCCCCGGGACACGCGCAGGCCACACTGCCACTCTGTGGTGGATGCCCGTTTTGGTCGCCTCTGCTGGGCCTAAAGCCCATTTCACGGACACTGTTCTGCGCACCAGTGAGATGAGACACGGAGCGTTCACCTCCTTCCGGAAGCTGTGCCCGCAGAGCCCAGGCAGCTTCCTCCCTGCCAGCCTGCCCTACCCCGACTACGGGGCACTGACAGGGTGAGCTTGCTCCAGCCTTCTCGGGGTGTGAAGGCAAAGCTGCCCAAGCCCTGGCACTGTGCACGACGGAAGCAGAGCACAGCTCCCTCTGGTGCCGAGACAGGAGGGGAGAACGAGGCTAAGGAACACGGAAATGTGACGGGCAGAGCTGAAGGGTAGGGACTTCTATGTAATTAGACAGTGGGGCTGGGGCCCGAATGTGCCATCAGCGAGTCTGCCTTCTTGTCCAGCCGGGTGGGGTGGGTCCTGTGCCCGGCGACCCCAACAGAGACGATACCCTGCCCTTAACCACACCGGTACCCGGAGGAGCGGAAAAGGTGAAGCAGCCAGCAGAAGAGGCTCAGGGCCTCGGCCTGGCTGCTCCTCATCAGGGAAGCCCAGAGCCTGCGCCTGCTGCCCTGCACCCTTCCCGCCAGTCAGGCCCTGAAGAGGCTGACGCTCAGCTGGCCGTGTCTGGAGGCTTGGAGGAGACCTGAGAGGATGCTGGGACACCACCGTGTAGGGCAGGCGGGCTCCGTCCCGCATTCGAAGCTCTGAGCTCTGAGATGCAGCTGCGCCTGGATGTGCGGCGCTGCTCCCTTTCCCCCGCTCCCTCACTCCCAAAGGCAACTGAGTGGCGCACAAGGGACGGGGTGACTTCTGGGAAAACAAAGGTTCATTTGCTGTTCTGGGCCCAAGTTACAGGAAGAGGCCTGTAGCGGGTTTGGGCGAAGAATGTTCTGCAGGCATCGGGGGTGCTGTTGGAAAGGACGAATGCAGGGCGAAGCGATGTCCTCACTCACCTTGGCCTCTTCGTTCACGTCCCAAGTGAAGGAAACGGCGTTGTACGCGATCTCTTCGATGTTTCCGATAGTGTTGAAGCTCTCCTTGTAATCAGCTGTAGTGTTCAAAAACAAAAAGGAAGGAGTTTTTGTGGTATGTGTTTCCCATCAGGCAAACGTAAACTTCACCTGTGTCTCTAGCTGTCCCGATGGCAGCAGTGAAGGACCGGCGCTTGCTGATACCCGGGTTACTACTTACTCCCTGAGAAGGTATGCACAGTCCGCTCCCGAAACAGGAAATCCCAGTGAAACAACCTCCTTATCTGGTTTATTAGTTCTGTTTCTTACCAGGTTCACAGAATTATTAAAGTTGGTCCCTGCTGAGTCCTGTCCATTCTTCTTCCCAGACACTCTCCTGCAGCTTAATTGTGCTGCTAGAGGACTCCGTAGGATTCTGCCCGCCCTTGTCCTGCCCTCTGTCTCTTTCTGCCCCCAAGCCCTGTGCCAGGGAGTGTCATCAGGACTTCAGGAAAGAAACTGCAGGAGACTACAAAAAAAAATATATTTTATAGGATGCTGAGGATGTAACCCAGAGCCTTGCATATACTAAACCCTGGCTCTTCCACTGAGCTCCACCCCAGCCCTGGGGACAACACTTTTAAGATTTTTTTGGACCCAAATAAATACAGAGCTGAGTTGATCACACTTGGCTCACTACTGACACAGGAGCACTCAAGGCACCCTCACCGCTGTACTTCTCACCCGTGGGTCTATGCCCTCCTGTCCCCTTCAGACTCCCCCAGAAATGACAGCCGCAGTGCGCTTGTGTGTGTTCTTACAGAACGTGCTGGCTTGATCTGCTTATCTACGCAGCTTAATTGTTCATAAAATGCGTGGTGCTATGGCGGAGGTCACTGGATTCAGCAAATATTTGAGTTATACTTATCCTAAAAAACTACTGACTGTTCATCAAAACTCAGATTTAACCGGGCACAGTGCATTTTATCAGGCGACCCTCATTATGCACCTTTTCAGATCTGACCGCAGGCGGCTCACAGCCGCTGTCTGTCATGCACAGAAAGCTGCCACAACTGCGGACTGCTTCTCCCAGAGTCGGAGCGTGCAGTGGTCTCGGCTCTCTGGCACAGCAGACAGCACTGAGATAAAGCCCTTGCTCGCCGGAGCTGAGGGGACAGCTGACCTCGGGACAACGTGCCGTCCATGCCCTCTGAACCCCGAGGGGAGTACCCTTACATCTGAAATGCAGCACCCACACTTTCATCTAGAAGCAAGTGGATCCCCTTAGGAGCCACCTTAAACACACCCGTGCGTACTTTGCTTCTCCCGTCTTTCTCTCTGTCCACCTCTCTCCAAAAGATGGAAAAGTCCTTACACTACACTGTAACCCCTGCTTTTTAATTTGCTTTTTGTTGCTGCTGTTATTTAGCACACCACTGGCCTCTTGCCATGTCAAGATCCTTAAACTACTATCAAGGCCCAATACGACAGTGCTAGAGCACACCTCGCAACTTCATTTTGCTCTTGTTGGCCACTTAGATTCTGTTCAGTACTTTGCTGCCTCCAACACTGGTTCAGGTCATTAACTTTTCAGTTAAAACTGTATGCATACTTAATTAGACTGCACTAACATATTCTCCTGGGTTGGAGGGGATGGTGGATATAGCTCAGCAGTAGAGCCAGGGTTAGGCCCTGGTTTCAAAGGCAAGCACCAAAAAGGAAAAGAAAGAAAAGGAAAAGGAAAAGGAAAACGAAGGGAGCGGAGGGGAGGGGAGAGAAGAATTCTCAGAAGTGAAAAAAGTTCAGTCAAAGGGAAATAATTTTTAAGGCTAACTGCTTTGGTCAAACTGCCCGTGAGAAGGCCAGAACAGCGTCCCTTCTCTTCACACTGACCTTCCAAACCCACATGCAAGGCCCGGCCCCTTATTGTTTTAACTCCGCGATTCCTTGATGCCTAAAGAGTCTGAACAGGCTTTCATTTGGCTTCTGGCTGTGGGTACTCTTAACTCTGTTTGGTTTTAAAATCTACTCATTTATTAGTATAGTTTCTAGTTTTATCCTTTGCCCATTTTTCTCTCAGACTATTTGATTTTTATTTTGTTTTACGACGATAGTTTATTTTTAAACAATCACTTAAATTGCTTAGTAGTAGGAAAAATACAAAACAAAAATATTACAGAAACAACACGCCCCCCCAAAACCCCTTAATTTCAGAATGTTTTCGGAAGCACAAGATCTCCACGCGCTCGCTCGGTTTCTGCTCCGTTCCATCTCAGTTACTCAGAGCTCAACAGGGCAGCAGCCGGCCTCGCTGTCGCTTCCTTCTCTCTCCACTCGGCTGTCTCATACGATGTTAGAACCCAACACCCGGTGCCGCTGCTTCTATTCAAATTTTCCTACTGATTCTAAAATAAATACTTAAAAGAAAAAAATAATTTTATATTCTATACATTTAGAATAAGGTGCTATGATTATTTTGGGATAATTTAAAACAGGTATCTGCTTTCAGCTGCCTAATCTTTTACAATTTTGAGAGAAATAAACCACCACTGAATCTAACGAAACTGAATTGACTCTTCACCATGGCTTTAAAAGATAACCTTACAATTTTGTTTAAGTTTTAAAACAGCAGGGGCTGGGGATTTAGCTCAGCGGCACAGCGCCTGCCTGGCAAGCGCAAGGTTGTGAGTTCGATTCCCGGTACTGGAAAAAAACAAACAAACAAAAAAAAACCCAAAACCAAAACCAAAGTTTTAAAACAGCAGTTACTTACTGTAAATGAGAAGGCAAATGTTGTACCTAGTATTTAAGGTAAACCAGGGTGGTTACTAGAGTAAGTGTTTGAAGTAGTTGTATGAGCTGTAAGTCATCATGAGGTCTCACTGCTTCTCTACCTAAAAAATTTCTCTCCTAAACTAGGCATGGTGGCACATGCCTATAATCCCATCACTTGAAAGGCTGAGGCAGGAGGATCATGGCAAGTTCAGAGCCAGTCTGGATTATGTAGTGAGGCCTTGTCTCAAAAAAAAAAGTACGTACTGAAACATGTACTAATAAAAAAACAAAAATTTCTCCCCTCAAAATTTTATCAACTGAGAGCAAGGAAAAGGTTATTTCAAAACCAGTTGTAACATAAACACAAATGAAACACCTTCTGTGGGCTGGGATGTAGCTCACGGTACAGCACTTGTCGGCAGAGGAAGGTCTTTGGTTCAATCCCCAGCACTGTAGGCAAGAAAAATACACCTCCTATTCCCCCAGTCTTACGCGGCTCCCCCTTTCTTACTCACCAGCCACTGTCACGGACAGAGGCTTTCTGTATGCCCGCTGTGCTGGGCAGTGCCCGCACAAACAGAAGCAGCAGGAACCAAGAGCCACCCTAACCTTGTGGCTCTTTCAGTTCAAAAAGAGAAAGACATGAGCAAGACAATGATCCTTACTCTGCTTCTTTTAGTGCCCAAAACAAAAGGACCGATGAGTCTATTTTCACTGGCTTTATTTACCTCATTTATTTCCTTTATAACATGCTAAGGATTTTACTTATTTGTCTACTATTTTTTCACCAGCATTTCTCATTAGGTATGTACAGGACCAGGAGCTGATCTGAAATAGCTGCTTTCTCAAGTGTAACATCACACACATAAGATGAACCCCGTGAACTTGTGAATGAATGAATGAACGAGTGAATGAGTGAATGCATCCACAGGCACCCTAAACAAAAGCTATAACCAACAGACTAATGTCGTGGCCTCCTCTGGACCCCTACACGATGCAGGAAGAGTCCATTACCCTCTCCCTCTCTTCAGTCTCCACAGAGGCAGGACAGCTCTGCTTCGCCACCTGACGTTGCTCTCTCCACATGCATTATTTGTCCAGCGAATGAACAGCTAATGGCTCCATCTCCTGTGTCTGAAAGCTGGGCACCTGTGCTCTGACAGGGGCGTGTGCTCGAGGAATTACGGCCCAGGGGTCGGAGAAGAAACTCAGCAACCTGCTGCCCACTCTTCCTTAAAGAAGGTTTCTCCATGCTCACATTGCTTGATCACTTTTGCATGCCAAAATCTGGTGAACTGATCAACTACTGTGAAGATAACAGTGTGCACTATAACAACCATTGTTAGTTTCCTGTCATCTTGTTTAGAAATTGTTTTTTTTAATTCTCTTTAAAATTACAAAAAAAGTTTCTCCAGCCCAAATTTTGAAAAGGTTGAGAGCGGCCAGCAGTAAAGGGTAGTGCTACTGTACTGTGACAGAACTGTATTCTGTCAGAGTCGTGGAGGCCAGAAGTCTGACCCGCAGGAGCGGGCGGTGCCGGCTCCTTCCCGGGGCTCGGGAACAACGGTCCAGCCTCTCCCGGCTCCTGACGGCTGCGGTCCCTCGCGCTCCAGGATGCGCAGCCTGGCCACTCAGCCTTCGCCTGTCTTAAGGCCTTCTGCCCAAAGCTGTGCGTTTCCTCTTCTTTTCTAAGGACCAGTCATTGCATTTGGGGTGATCTCCTCATAAGATCCTTCCCTTCATTTCTTCTGCAAAAACCTTTTCCCAAAAGAAGGTCATATTTACAAGGGCTGGGAGTCAGAACCAGGGGTCTGTCGTTTTTGAGGGTCACCATTCAATGCCCTGCATCTGTGACTCCCGCCTTGGCTGAACCCACACAACTGGGGTGAACAGCTGGCTCTTGCAAGAGAGCTGCCATGGGCGGAAAAGAACCACCCCACTTTGAGAGGGCTGTAACGCATGTAGTCATAAACATGGACATCTTAATGGGCTTTCTCCCTCAACATTAACCAACACAGAACGAGGCGACATTACAAGCTACGTGTTCAGTACGCTGGTGTAGACATAGTATCAGTATCTACAGTACAAATAGGAACAACGGTTCAGATAGTCCCAAACAAGCCTGGGGAGCCCAGTCAGTAGCGCTTACAAGCTACTTTTGTTTGTGTGTTTCTGAATCGCATCCATGGACCTGGGAGAAGAAGGAAGTTCTTGCTGGGAGAAGGAAGCACATGCCGTCAGGCCAGCCACGTCCCAGCCCAATCCCTGCGTAAGTGGGTGACGGAACTCCTGTCCCGAGTCCCACGGAAGCTGCACTGCTCTC